ACGTTATCAAATCACGTAATCGGTTGTCTACATTGAATAATACGCAAAATGCGAAATTAATGGTACCATTGAAGAAGAGAAACAATGAAATGAAATATTCTCAGTTTTGATGCATAATCTATTCATTCATTTACCCAGTTACTTGAGAAAACACTGTTCTACCGTTAAAACGATGTTTAATGTCACGTCGTTTAAACGATGATATATTGACCAAATTACGCGTTTACCACAAAAAACGATTTTGTATGTCAAAAAAGTAATATTATGTTCTTGTCGTTTAAACTTTGAATTGTAAATGTCATAAATAGTGCTTCGTTGACGTTAAAACGATAATTTTTTATTATTTCATCTATCGTAAACGATTCTTTACTTGAAAAAAGGTTTAATATTCAAGAATCATCTTCGTCTTACTTGTGACGTGACCATTCATCTAATTTTATTAATTTGATGATGGACAATACACGTTCGTTCTTTTTCTCAATATCTCAATACATTCTAATGAGTAGGTCTCATTTTGTTTTCGAAAAACCATAAGTTAAATCTTTAACAAGTTAAAATATTTATTTAAAGAAATGAAAGTTCATGCATCTATAAAACATAAGATATGAATAGAAGTCTCTTCTACAAACTTTTCTTTTTGTATTGATATTTGTTCAATAGACTTCTACTCATGGCTTATGTTTTAAAGATGCATGAACTTTTATTTCTTTAAATAAATATTTTAACTTGTTGAAAATTTAACTTCCATTTTTTCGACAACAAAATGAGACCTACTCATTAGAATGCGTTTAGATATTACAAAAATCTGACTACACTCTTTCTTCTGACACCTCGATCGTTTTTTAAAGTTTTTTTTCTATACTCTTCGTAGATAATTAGAAATTTGTCGATCGCTCAAGGATGATGCGTTTGTCTTACATCTGATAAATATTCTATCGAAATCTTCTCAAGTTTTCATTATGAATTCTCACGTCTAGGTTATTCTAATATCTATGGAAAAATATATAATTAGTTGCAAAGTTCTGATTTATGATAATCTCGATGAATAATGAAAGAAGAATCTAAATTAGTTTATTAGTATCAGATATGTATGTGATAATGAAACTTAGATTTTTAAGAAGAATTAATGAATTGATATGACAAACGAAAAATTCTAAGGGAAAAATACCATAGATAAAACGATATCAATTTTTTGGTATATTTTATCAAAAGAAAATATTGAACAGCAACACTATTGACGTACTTCTAAAATTTATTCATTGTTGAGACTATTTTTTTCTCATTCTTTAACAGTCGTCTGTCGTAAATAAAATAATTTATTGCTACAAAAGTTAATAGAGCAGTTAAGTTTTTTATTTGATTACTGTAATCTTTATGACTTACACATATTTATCATTTAGGTGTTCTTTTAAGATTTATACTGAAAACGGAATATATACTCAGCATTATATTCTTTTTATGGTATAAGAGGTAAAAAATTAAAGTTTCTTCGTGTAAGAGTTTCAATCGACGACGAACTCAGTAAAATAACAAGCTCTAAAATGAAATCATTAATGAAACTAAGCTATTTAACATTTTTTTTCAACTGATTTATTAAGATCAATCAGTGTGACGTTTCGTTCTAACTAAGAACATTATCAAACACAAATAAATAGACAGAAGAAG